CGAGGAGGGTATCGGAAAACCATACTATTTACATGGTTTCGTGCCCCTCCCACACCTCCAGGGAGGCCCCGCCTGAGCGAGGAGGGTATCCGAAAACCATAATATTTACATGGTTTCGTGCCCCTCCCACCTCTCCAGGGAGGCCCCGCCTGAGCGAGGAGGGTATCCGAAAACCATACTATTTACATGGTTTCGTGCCCCTTCCCACACCTCCAGGGAGGCCCCGCCTGAGCGAGGAGGGTATCGGAAAACCATACTATTTACATGGTTTCGTGCCCCTCCCACCCCTCCAGGGAGGCCCCGCCTGAGCGAGGAGGGTATCGGAACACCATACTATTTACATTGTTTCGTGCCCCTCCCACCTCTCCAGGGAGGCCCCGCCTGAGCGAGGAGGGTATCGGAATACCATACTATTTACATGGTTTCGTGCCCCTCCCACCCCTCCAGGGAGGCCCCGCCTGAGCGAGGAGGGTATCGGAATACCATACTATTTACATGATTTCGTGCCCCTCCCACCCCTCCAGGGAGGCCCCGCCTGAGCGAGGAGGTTATCGGAAAACCATACTATTTACATGGTTTCGTGCCCCTCCCACCCCTCCAGGGAGGCCCCGCCTGAGCGAGGAGGGTATCGGAATACCATACTATTTACATGGTTTCGTGCCCCTCCCACCCCTCCAGGGAGGCCCCGCCTGAGCGAGGATGGTATCGGACTACCATACTATTTACATGGTTTCGTGCCCCTCCCACCCTTGCAGGGAGGCCCCGCCTGAGCGAGGAGGGTATCCGAAAACCATACTATTTACATGGTTTCGTGCCCCTCCCACCCCTCCAGGGAGGCCCAGCCTGAGCGAGGAGGGTATCGGAAAACCATACTATTTACATGGTTTCGTGCCCCTCCCACCCCTCCCAACCGCTCTTGGCCGATCAGTGTCTGCGTTCGAATTGTAGTTACCAGACACCTCGGCAAGTGCTTTCGTCTAGCGAACTCGTGTCGCCCACCCTCTTGTATAACCTCGACTGGACGAGGGAAATGCGACCACTCAGACCAACCTCACGAATCGGACCTCACGAGGAAAATGAGACCACTCAAACCAACCTCCCGCTGCTGCTCCTGCTGCGGTTCCTGCTGCTGCTCTTCGCCATCATCCATCTTATCCTCTTCCTCCTCCTCCTCCTCCTCCTCCTCCTCCTCCTCCTCCTCCTCTTCCTGGAGGGTATCGGAAAACATGCTGTTTACACGGCTTCGTGTCCCCCCTCCACTCCTCCAGAGAGGCCGCGCTTGAACGAGGAGGGTCGCGGAAAGCATTACTTTTCGCCAGGTTTCGTAGCCCTCCCCCCTTCCAGCGGGGCCCCGCCAAAGCGAGGAGGGCATCAAGAAAATGGGTCCCACGAAACCGTTAATCTCTTTATGTGGGGAACTCCGTTAGCATAATTTCATCGTCAGGGTCATACATGAGGAGAAGGTCTCAGGCGAAACGCCCACCGCCCTGAGCACTGGCCCAGGGGTGCGACAGGGAGAGGTTATGTAGAAGGCAAAGGAATGGAGGACAAAGAGGAAGAGGAAGAGGAGGAGGCGGAGGAGGCGGAGGCGGAGGCGGAGGCGGATGCGGAGGCGGAGGCGGAAGCGGAGGCGGACGCGGAGGCGGAGGCGGAGGCGGAGACGGAGGCGGAGGCGGAGGCGGAGGCGGAGGCGGAGGCGGAGGCGGAGGCCGAGGAGGAGGAGGAGGAGAAGGAGAAGGAGAAGGAAAAGGAGAAGGAGGAGGAGGATAATGAAGAGGAATAATAAGAGGCATACGAATAACAATACTAAGACTAATACCAATGGTACTACGAATAAGAGGGCGCAGAAGACGATTATGACGAAGAAGACGACGAACCATACTAGTACTACGAAGAAAAATCATACGCGGACTACTACTATCATTACTATGAATAGTAGTTATAATGATAAGAAAATGATTACTCGTATTTATACAAAGCAGACAAATACTAATAATAGTACGACTAACAATAATATGACACACACTACGAAGACGAGGGCGACTACTGATACTTAATCTTACTAAGAAGAATATTCATACTAATAAGCATGACAAGACGAGTAAGCAGACGAATAAAAGACAAACTATATTGACAACAATAATAGTAATACGAAGAAGAATAAACATAAGAGCAATACACTTCATAATAATACGGATACGAATAATAGTAATACTAATCGTAATCATGTGACGAATATTACGAATAAGCAAACTAAGGATACTAACTAGTAGTAGTAGTAGTAGTAGTAGTAGTAGTAGTAGTAGTACTACTACTAATAGTATTAATCATACGAAGAGGAAACATACGAATAATACGAAGAGTGATGCTACTAATAGTAATAAAAATAAGAATCTTGATGCGAAGAAGAATACTAATGCTACTGAGACTTATCATACACATAATAATAAGACTAATACTCATAACAGTAATACTAATACTAATAATGATAACACGAATA